AAAACAGGTCAGGGACCTTTCAGGTGTACTGGGCATATAGAGCTAGACCTGAATTTATAGACCAATCAGCAATTGGTGGGTGATTAAGTCAGCTTTAAACTGGTCACCTTTACTTCCCAGGATTTTACCTGGTACTCACTTAAGGTTAGGTCAACCTTGGGGCCAAGGTCATTTTTTTAAAGTCTGATTTTCTGAGAAAGTACTAACGAATGATTTTTTTAAAAGTTAATAAACAATTATTTTATTTGTTTTCTATACTTCTGATCCAAACACTAATGCTGATTTAATGTTAGAAATATTTACATTTTCATGCTGAAGTTAATATCTTCTGACTTCAACAAAAGTCATAGTGTTATAAGTTCTTTATGCCTTCTGTATTCTTATTTTAACATTGTAACTTCTCCTCCATATTTGTCTGTAATGACATTCTAAATTTTAATTTTTTTGGGTCATTTTGTTTCTTTTTGTAAATTATTATTTAATTTTTCCGCAATAGCTATTAGTTATCTGCAACTTCTCCTCTATGAGTGGAGTTTATGTTTACCCAAGACTACTTACTATCTGTATCATGGCTAGGTACTCAAGAGTTCACACATGTGATCGTATCGAATGATTTGATAATAATGCTCAAGACAAAGCAGGCTGACTTCATCAAACAAACAAGAATGGATTGTCTTGTTAAATGACCTTTATTTTTGTGCCTGGTCATGCAGATATTTGAGACAATGAAATGCGGATTGCCTGGTGGACAATGTGGTTATTGAGATGGAGCTGGCATTGGACAGGAGTGAGTCATCAACGCCATGCTAGATGCAGATCTCAAGAATGATCACAGCAAAAGCATGTAACCATATCCCTGTTCAGGTTGGGTGGATATTAGGGTACAACCTGGAGTCGTCAGATATAAACATTTCATTAGGGGCACAAGACATATGATTAATCAACATAGAACGTATATGATCAGTCATTTTACATTTGAAGATGAGATTAGAGCACCTATGGATCTGTCCTGAGTGCTATGATGACCTCATTAATCACTTGCTATCTGTTTGCTTAGTTTCAATTATTTATTAAAATTAAAACGTCTACCACAATAACTAAGCAGGCTGAGGTAGTTTTTTGTTCTAGTACCATCATTATCAACAACACATGAGAAAGTAGCTCACAGATAGTTTGCAGATTAACTTGAGCACAATCCCATCAAAAAGAACATGCTATGCAAAAGATACTTTTTATGAACATTTAAAAAGAAGTCTTTAATTGTTTTGCATCTTTATAACTGACTATTTACTCTATTTATGAATTACAAACACTAAATACCAAGACAACTCAAGTGTAAGATGCAGAGAATTAACAAACATTCTTGAGATCACCAGTGTCCTGGCTGTTTTTCTCTCAGCCACTACCTGAAGGTTTGACCACACCTGTGACTCATAGAAACATCCCAGAAACCCTGCACCCCCGTTTTTAAATCCTCATTTTTTTCCCCCCGTAAAATAAAAGTTTCATTTGGGAAAAGTCATGCATGAAAAACAATTTTTTTGCTTCTTCTTCTTCTTTAAAAAAAAAATAATCTTACCAGCACTAGATTAAATAGACCGAATAAATGTAAGTACTAAATTACACATATTCTTTCAAATTATTGTTCGCCCAATGAAAATTACTTGCTTGCGAAAAACAAAAAAGAAAACCACATAATTCTATTAGCTGGACAGGTAGTTAGTATAATTATCATATGAAGTGATGTGTTTCTAACAAATAATGGAAAGAATAAAGGTTACTAGGGAGACATAGGAAGTATACTGAAACAAATATATAAAAACTGAACTGATTTACAGATATTTAAAATATCAGTATTTACACCCAAGATATACATATATAGGAACATATCTTGAAGCAATCATCAGTATGGGATGATACATTGTATTTAAAATATTTGCACAAATTATTGTCATAAATACAATAAACAATTCTTTTCTATTCTTGGAACAGCTTTATGAAATGTATTTAAAATGTAGGTTTTTATGATTCTGGTCACCAGTCTTCCCATTCTTCTTCTGGCTTCTTCCCATTAGATTCTATAAAATGTCTGCACATTAGACTCTTGCCAAATATTTATCCTCAGTCTCTGTAAAATGTTTGTACATACACTGCCAAATCTTCACACATCAGACTTTATCAAATATTTGTCCATCACACTTTATTAAATGTCTGCACAACAGACTCTATCAAGTATTTACACATCAGACTTTGTCAATTGTAACCACACCAGATTTTGAGAAATTGCTAAACTGTCTTTACTGCCTGCATTTACCAATTTGTATTATGTATAAGACAGAGAAGATATGGGGAATGGGGAGGATGATAAGGGGTAGCCTTGAGCCATGGCTAGTGCAAATTATTATGTTAATTTTTGCTCTGAAAAAAGCTTCCTCCACTTTACTGAGTATTTGAACCAACTAGATCAACATCCCACATGCTGTTAAGAACACCAACATCCGGACTATCGACTTAGTGAGCCGGAAAAGCCACAACGAGTCACTCCTCAGGGCTGCCAATAGCAAATGCTAAAATGCACTTTAATTGAGTCATGAAATGTTAACTTAATAAAGCTCATATGCTACAAAACCATAGGGCCTCTCATCTTTTCGCCAACGATTGGGGGGCAAAAATTGGCGTTACATTTCAGTGGCGCCACATTCAGATTGTCGGCCAGTATTTTCGAAATCCAACGTTATTTAAGCTAAAAAGTCATCAACATCATCATCAACAATTTCCACTTCTGCTGTTAAGTGCTGTGGCAAGGAACAGTTTGCAGTCTATTGCTTGATAGGCGGCAATGGCTTCTGTCGGCCACGGGAGAGAACTTCTAAGTCGTCCAAGGCTGTTTATGCATTTGCCAGTAATCTTTTTAATGGCTTCTGTCATTCTGTGTTGATGCAGAATCTTTTTAATGTCATCAATCCATTTTCTCCTAGGGTGACCTCTTGTTTTCACATCAGATCTTTTCATGTGCAGTGCCTTGGTAGTTATTCTGATTGCATTTTACTAGATGACCAAACCATTTGGTCTTCTGTTTCTCAATGAATTTGTGGATGGTGTTTCCACAGTCTGCTGAGAATATCATTTTTAACTTTGTCTCAGACTGTTAAATTAGTGGCTTATCTCAGGCATCTTATTTCATAATATTGAGATTGGCCCTTGATAATGTCAAGTCCAGGCACTGGTAACATAGTGTTTGTATAAATATGCTGTTTATAATCTAAGACAGAAAGTATTGTTTTAAAGAAATACATCTGTACAGTGTAGTGATAAAACCGTCACATGTCGGACAATACCATTGTCCAGTGACTAAACAGAGTCCAAATAACCACACATGCTCTGAATGCAGTGAAAGAAAGATACTCCTCTTAAGAAGCATCTGAGTGGCTGTAGAGCAGAGCTATTCTACTAGTTGCCTCTGGGCCAAATTTGGCCCGCCGAGGCCTAGCAAGTGGCATGCAGATCACTGCCAGTTGTGTTGTTTTAATGAGCTTTCTTTGCTTGGGCTCAGGTCTCTGCCCCGTGACAATTTCACCTTTGAAAATTGTGGGCCTCGAGTAAACTTAGTTGAATAGCCCTGCTGTAGAGCAGGAGGCAGTACACATACTGATTGTCTTTTGTGGCTGATTTACTATATCCAGTAACAAATGAAGTACTAGTACTAATTATGTAATAATTAAGTATTCAGAAATCAGTCAACAGTTTTAAGTTCTCAAAGTTTGAAAAATAAATCTGAATCTACATTTTGCAAGTGTTAATTAGTATCAGTACCCTAGTTTCACTTACAAATCTGACATCTCTCAACACTCAGAAGAAAAGTAAGACAGACATAACTCAGACTGCTATTGATACCATGGAAACTGGAACTTTGCTGGCTGTTGGAGATGGGGGCAGAGAACTTATGGGAATGTTCCAAGTGCTGTGATGTCAGTTTTTGAATCAACTCAACTGAACTCAAATATGAAATCATTCTTACTTCATTTAAAACAATAAAAATTACCATGACATTACCTTGAAGTCATGACAAATATTTGTACTATTAGAATATAACAATATTTCAATGTTATTTATTTTATATGTCACAACAAAAACATGACTGATAACTTTTATATATCAAATGACATTAAAGGGCAGTGGCTAGCAGCTTGTCTGCCAGCCCAAAAGTCCTTGCGTTTAAAACTGCATTTGGGGGATTGGTATAACTGACCTAAAGCTCACAGGCTGACTAAAACTGGTACCAGGAAATATCTTAGGAAGTAAAGACAGCTGGTGTGATGTTGACTGTATCAACCATCGAGTGCCAGTTATTCTATAATGATATTCTATGCAGTCTTTCTTTGTCAACTGAGAAGAGAAAAAGAATTCTCAAAAGTTAAATAAATCCTATCATGATGTACGGAAGTGAATCGTGATAGTTAGACAATTAGTAAAAGGTTATTTGGTAGCAGTGGAGACGTAATTTTATAAACAAATGATAAGAATATCCTAGACAGATAAAAAGAGTATAAAGATGTCTTGAAAGACACTGATGCATGAAGAGTAACTAACTGCCCACATCAGAAGAAGACACTACATTCTTTTGAAAGTACATTGTGATGGTGGAGGGGATAAGAGGCAGAGGGAGACAGAGCGAGAAGATGCTGGACAGTTAGCCACCATGGCATGGAATATCATCTGCCTCAGAAATAGTTGAAAGTACACAAGACAGAAGGTTGTGGATGGACTACTAATGCCATATGGCATGGATTATAAAAAGAAGCCCTACATGCTTGATGCACTAAAAGTGTGCTTAAGTTTACACTGCTTTAAAAATGACATTACAATCCTTTGTAGCACATAGTTCATGAAGGCCTCCAAATTCCACTAATGGACTTATATACGTAAGTATATTAGAAGTAAAATAACCTTTCCTCGCATTGCCTAGTACAGTTGAACAAAAGGACTACTGAAATATAATATCAGTGATGCTTAACATCAATTTTCTGACAAGTGTGACAACAGAGTTTTCTGTAGTGTGGATAGTTGCATAATCTTGCCTGTTTGGTCAGCTGGCACCACCATGGGCTTTGATGATCTTTACACAGTGGATGTTCTGAGATGACATTTTAGAAAAAAAAATGGTCAAATTAAAAATATTGTATAGTGCTACACATAATTTGGGGAGCTGTGGTAGTGAAGTGACTAGATACTTTTCTGCTAGCATAAAACTATTGGGTTTGAATCTGCACTGAGTAGTGTTTTTCTTCTTCTACATTTCCACACACAAAAATGTAGCTGTTTATGCACTTCTGGACTTTGTTATCACATCTGTTTTGCAGATCTGCTTATTGGTATGAAGATTGCTTTCGTGCCCCTCTGAGAGATTCACTCCAACTTTGCAGAAAAACCCCATTATTAGATAATCTTTATGACATGCTTGCTGGAGATAAGGTGGGGAGGGGTGGCAGGCATCTGGTCTACAGAACCAACATGAGCAAGTTTTTTTTTTTTAAACTTGATGTTGTCTCCCAGATTATTGTCTTTCAAGATTATGACATCACTGGACATGGAACACATGTTCCGAGCATGTGATCCTGACATTATTAGATTATGGACTTTGAATGCTTACCATATAAAAGAATCAGCTGAAAAAAAATCTGAACGTATGCAAAACTGAAGCAATGCGGTTAATTCTAGAATGTACAAGAGACACCCTGGCAGTATGTATGCGATACATACTTGCACTGCCTACTGTTGCAGATAGGCTCAAAGTTCTGCAAGCAAAGTCATCAGAGAAGCTGCAGACAAGAAACACCTCCTGAATGAAGCCCTAGGTAGTGATTAAGGGTCTCAAACTGAAAAGAGGAAGATCTGGGATGGCACAAGCTGAAGACCCAATCACACATGTGTGCAGGCTTGATAAATCTGGGAGGGGAGAGAAGTTGGTCAAATTGTCCAAGCAACTTTCAGACTTGTGTAGGGTTCTAATCACTTTAGGTTGTGAGTGCAGGGACTGGCCAGCTAGTGCTGCAGAATCAGAAGTTTAACAAATGATTCATGACAATGCCTGCTGAAGTGATATGCTTATCTACACAGATGGGACGAGACATTTCATTAACCAACACAGAACAGACGTCATCAGTTGATTTAGATTTGTGGAGCTTTTGAGGAGGAGATCTGAGCACTTATGGATCTGTCAGGAGTGCTGTGATGATAATCCTTAGTAATCATAGATGGCTCTGTGTTGAGAGGCAGACAAAGTTCTGCCCCACTGGGTGGTGAACTGATGTATGACAAGCTAGATGTTGTGAGAGCCCTTTGGGAGCAAGTCAACAGTGCTGAGGCACAAATAAATCATTTAGAAGCAGTTAATTTCCTTTCGTAACCAAACATCTCATCAAATGGTAAAAACTTACTGGTCAAGCACTTTTTATAGGCTCATTCAATACTGAACAAGTCACCATGTTGTTTCCTTATTACTGAATAAGGAATTTGCTGGCAAGTGCTCTGTGGCTTAGCCTCTTCCACAACATTTAGATTACTCTCAGATTACTAAGAGTCTCTGTGGCAAACTCTAGTTGTTTGCCTAAGCTCTGAAAGTCATGGGTTTGTTACACAGACTGCAATATTTGCTTCACCAGTACAATTTTCACCACTGGAGATTGTTGCTGGAGCTATGGAGTTTGTACTTTGTGTGATGCTCATGGCAGATGGCTAGACATTATGTAGAGAGAGAGAGAGAAAAAGAAGGTGGGGGGGGGGGGAGAAAGAGAGACTGAGACACATTGGATAAAACTCAGTGTAATGAACTCCATTCTCTCAACTGTGACTTTCAGTGTTAGGTTACTCATTTCAACTGCCCAAGGAATATTCAGGGCTCTTCTTTAAAACTGTCTTTGAGCTTGAAAATATCAACTTCGCACAGTGAGTGCAGACTGGTCCATTAACTATTTGGTCAGCAGCCTGTATCCAAAATATTTCAAGCTGTAGAAAAGTGTCATTTACTTGTTAAGTTTCAAAGACACTTTTCTCTAAATTTTCTTCGCATTCACCAGCTTTAAATTCTGGTGGAAAGTTCTCGCTGTTCATCAACTTCTGGAAAAAATATTTACATCTATAATTTTATTCCTACTGTGACTGAGTTAGCCAGATTTCTTAATATATAATAAAGCTAGCATGCTTGTCTCTCAGCCTAGTTGTGATGTATTCTTCTACCCCTCCTCCTCTTTGTTATCAGCATTCACCAGCTGTAAACTCTGGCGGAAAGTTTTGGTTATTCGTCCGCTTAGGTACTTTGGTCATGTTCCAGAAATTGAGTTTTGTGTGCATATTCATTTTACAGATCTGGCTTATTTTTGTGCAGCTTGTTGGCTGCTCACCTCTCAGGCAGGTGTACTTTGACTTTCAAGAAAATAACCCTAATTAGTCACCTCCCATGACATGCTTGGTAGTGGGGGTAAGGTGGTGGGGGGTGGGTCTTTTTTCCCCCACTCAAAATGGGAGACCCTGAACCCACTCAGAGATTTTAAAGATGGCTTATTATTTAAAAAAACAAAAAAGAATTAAGTAAAAATAAAGACAGACTATTTGTTCAGCCGCATAATAATTAAAGAAGATGGGCCATGTGACAACTGGACAATTTAAAGAATGAGAAATGGGGTAACAATTATCTTGATAGTATTTTGTATCGCGGCCTATAATAGTCTGTGCACACTAACTGATGCATCCTATTGAAAACTACAACTTGTAGAAAAGCATCATACAGAAGAAAGTCGACGGAATGTGGATATATGAGGGAGATAGAACATGATGAAAATCTGGCAAAGAGGTCCAAATGAAATTAGTAACGAACAAGACTTTAGTGAACAAAATCAAGATTTGACAGACGACATATTATGTTCAATGCAAAGACAATATGCTGTGTGGGAAAACTATGCCAGAAAGAAAAGTTACAGACACATTCGCAATTGTTTCAGCTGGAAGATAAGAAGAACTAAAAAGATGTTAGAATGTATCATGACATGAGACAGATAACACTGGTCATCTACTGCAGCCAACCTTTGGTGTGAAGATGGCAAGTGATCTGACTTTATATCAGTCATATACCCACCTTCTGTAGATACTAGTCCATCCATCTGAAAAGCTTCATGTGTTGCAGTGTCAGGAGACTCTGAGATGGGTGTATGGTTTTCTTGACATGACTGAGTATTGCACGGTTGCCGGCGTGATGGTTTGAGTTTTTTGTCACAGTCGGGACTGGGGCTCAAAGTAGCATTCAGGCACTTGACTTCTCGAGTCTTCACTCCAGTGTCACATGATTTACTACACTGTAATTATATTGGGCAAATGTTCATCACAGGCTTTGTTTACATGATAGTTACACACATATTGAATTTTAATATGGTCATTCACAATTTACTGAAATAAAAAAAAAAATTTTTTGAAAGTTAAATTATGACATAGCTTAGGCTGGTTAAAAAGTAAGAAATGAAAAACTCTGGAAAATTAAACTGAATAAAGTAAATTCCTATAATCAAAGAGTTAAGACTCTAAAATCTTGTTCAGCCTTTAACATAAACACCAAAGTGAATACTGGAGGGCAAAATTCGAACAACAAAGGCTGGTACAATACAGGCAACTACAGAATGGTTCAAGGATTGCCATTTTTGATGATGTCTCTTGAATGTGCAGCACCTGTGTTTAAGCAAAATGACAACTACTAGCTCAACATATTTTTGTTCGTTTGTATTCATTGACCATGCTATAGAAATATAATGGACACAGAGCAAGGGAAGAGTGCACATAAGATAGAGTGGCAAGGGGAAAAGTACACAGAAAACATAGCAGCAAGGGGAAAAGCACACTGAAAACATAGTAGCAAGAAGAAGGGCACACATAAAACTTAGCAGCAAGGGGAAAAACACACTGAAAACATAGTAGCAAGGGGAAAAACACACTGAAAACATAGTAGCAAGGGAAAAAGCACACAGAAAACATAGCAGCAAGGAGAAAAGCACACAGAAAACATAGCAGCAAGGAGAAAAGCACACAGAAAACATAGCAACAAGGAGAAAAGCACACAGAAAACATAGCAGCAAGGAGAAGAGCACACACATAAATTTTGAGGCAAGGAGAAAAGCACACAGAAAACATAGCAACAAAAAAGAAGAGCACACACATAAATTTTGAGGCAAGGAGAAAAGCACACAGAAAACATAGCAGCACAGGGAAAACCACACAGAAAACTTAGCAGCAAGGGGAAGACTGCATAGAAGAAGGAACAGAAGATGGTTTGAATTCGCAAACATTTACAAGAATCACAGATCAGGTCATTGTTCTTGTTTGTGTTTTTGTTCGCTTAAGCTGTGTGGTCAAACTAGGCATTTATCTCTTTGATTTCTCCTTTTTTTTCTTAATCAAACTTGCCAACTGACACTAAAAATTTTCACAAGTTTATTTCACCATGGAGGGTGAAAAACCTTGATTGTCTATGACTAATTTCTCCAACCAGTTTAGTTTTAATCTGCTTCTTGGACTGCCTTACTCATTTTTCTGTCTTTTTATAGTTCAGAATTTATTCTTAGAAACTATATTCTCCCTGCAATTAGATGTGTCTTTGCTCGCCAACTCATTGTCTACTTTTCACATACATAAAACAGTGTCAACTAAGTTGCAAATCTTTCCAAGTTGCTGCAAACCAAACCAAACACCCCCCCCCCCCCCCCCTCAATTTACTGACTGTTGGTATAGTTTTACAAAACAATTTTTAGTTTTGGTAGTTTGCTATTGCTTTCTGAACAGTTAAATGCTCATCTTCTTCTTCTGCCTTTCTATCCCCCAGTGGAACATAGGCCCTCAACCAACTCATGCCAAGTTGTTTTATCCTTCACCATTGCATGTCCTCCCCATCTTTCTAACTTCATTCTCCAGCTCCCTTCTCCATGTATTTTTTGGCCTTCCTTTATTCCTATGCCCCTGTGGGTTCCAATGCAAAGACATTCTGGTTATGCTGTTCTCCTCTTTTCTTAGTATGTGTCCGATCCAGCGCCAGATTTTTTTCTTCACCTCTTGTTCCACTGGAGCCTGTTTAGTTCTCTTCCAAAGCTCTACATTAGTTACTCTATCATACCATTTAATTCCCTCTATTCTGCGCAGGCACCAGTTAATGAATGTCTGTAATTTATTAGTAATTGCCTTAGTTGTTATCCATGTTTCCGCCCCATACAATAGTACTGATTTGACATTAGAAATAAAACATTTTAGTTTAGTATTTCTTTTAATTTCCTTTGACCTCCACAATTTCCCTAGTGCCATGAAACCTCTTCTTGCCTTTTGTATTCTTTTTTTTAATATCACTGTCATTTCCTCCATCTTTATCTACATTACTGCCCAAATAGGTGTACGACTCCATGTCTTGGAGTGGGGTGTCATTAAAAGAAACCACATTACTATTTGCCTGGTTTATTCTCATTATCTTTGTCTTTCCTTTATGGATTTTCAGACCAAGCTTAATGCTCATACTGATGTAAAAATAAACCTAAAGCAGTCTGCTGTGAAACTGCCTGCAGCTGAATCACATCCTGATAGGTCATAAGTATATAGTTGTTTACAACCCTAGCCCTAACATTTAAAAACACAGGTTAAATCAAGTCACTTCTGGTTGTAACCTGTTCATCATAAATGCCAACATATTGCCATTCCTTCCAAAAAGCATAGTTAAATGCCATAAGTTCTGTGTTGAGTTGAGTCAGGAATTGACATCACAGAACTAGGGGCATTTTCATGTGTGCTCTGTCCTCATCTTCAGCAGCCAGCCCAGAGTTTCAATACTGATGGTACTGGTCACATTGTGGTTATATGTCCATCTTGTCTTTCCTCTGAGTGTAGTGTACCGGCCAGACCCTCTGGTTACACTCAGGTGCCTTATTCTCTCCAGGCCATAATAATTTCAATTCTCTACAGACTGTGTACCCCTGTGGAGTGTTTAGGAGGCCCAGATGTGAATATATGAGTTAAATATAGCAAACAAATTTTTCAATAAACCTCAGTGAAAGAGGTCATGAGTCACAGCATGTCACCAGATACATAGTTGTTTTAGGTCCATGGGAATACATTCCATCGAAAGCTTCACTCTGTTCTTGTTTACTGATTCCCTCTTTTAAAAATTTATATATATTTAGAAATACATTTTTTTCAAAATGTAGATAATATGCATCTTTATTTACTTAGAAACAAAAATTTTTAAAATGCAGATAAATAGATCTGTGAAAATTTATTGGTCCCTTATAAAATAGTTTTTCCTTTTTTTAAGGAATTTATCTAGAAATTCCAAAGGATTCAAGACATTTTTTTTCCAGCCATATACAGAATGAAAGGGTTAAGACGTTTCTTGTTTACATAGATGATATATTGTGGTAATTTGTTGTTATTGGTGATGACCACAATTTCTGACTCTTTGCAATTTATAAGCTCATTTTTCTTTGTTACATAGCCAGTATAAAGTAATGTATTCTTAATCATTATCATCATCAGGTGATGATGTTTTCCTTATCATACAGACAAAAACCTATGAACTAAAACGGGCATTTACCTCAGACCAGCTCATCACAAACCATTGTGGTTTACATGCAGGAAAAGGACCACAAGGTTTTGTGTCTAGTGGTTTTTCTTCTTGGATGCAGTTATGATCTTTAACTATCTGTCTTATTGTTTTCCCATGATGTTTGATGCACAGAACATCACGGTGATGATAACCATTTAATCCACATGTCATATTGCACTGAAAGGCATCACAACATTGTTTTACATGGGACAAGTAAACAATATACATAAATTTGAACACAAACTGCAAAATTATAAAAAAGTAAAGTAAAGGACCATTTTCTGCCCCTTCGGGCACATTAGGCATTTAGTGCTAGACATATATTGGTGCTTTATTAATATCCTACCCCAAACAGAGGAAATCCACAGGTTATGGGACAGTCTAATGCTTCAGGAGGTGGTACATAGGCTGCATGCAGTTGTGGAACCTACGCTGCATGCAGTTGTGGGACCTAGGCTGCACTCTCTGTTGGGACGTAGGTGGGTTGGGGTAAGGGCCATTTCTAGATGTTTTGGGGTTGTTAAAAGCTTCAGAAAGCGGGGAAACCCAGTCTTACCACCCTCTAAAATGTTGGACTGTCCTGTGACGTCCTCTGGGTTAGGATATACATAAAGAACCCCTATATTTTAAAGACCAATCAGCAATTGGGGGCGAAGTGGTCAACATCAAGCTGGCCACCTTTACTTCCTAGGACTTTATCTGGTACCCATTTAAGGTTGAGTCAACCTGGGAGTCAAGATTATTTTTATTTAAGGGAAAAAAAGTCTAAATCCTGTTTGGATATGAATTCAAGACCTTCGGATCCACAGGCAAGCATTTAGCCACTACACCATAGCAGCTCCCAATTTTTATAGAAGGTAAAACAAAAAACTAAATCTACATCCTACAACACAGAGAGGAACAAAAAGCATTATCATGTATAATGATTTCTACTATGTTTACCAGATTTACCATTATAAAACCTAAGCTGAGTAAATTTCATACTAGAGACAACATTGCAGATATAGATAATCTATTTCGAGCAAACAAAAGAAGAAAAAGAGGAAGAAGAAGATAAAACCTAAAACATTTATGTAGCAATGAAATATCATAATGATCACTGTCATGATTGAGCAGATCTACAGTGAGGGGGATTTTACAACTAATCTGGGAGCCCCAGGTTAACCCAGCCTAAACTGAGTAAGAGGGAAAGCATGAGATGGGTCTATGACTACTTTACATACTGTCTTGGTAGGCAAGCATAGTTAGACACTTTAAACAAGTTAGGTGCATATAATTAATATGAAATTGGAGGACAAACCGCAGCAATTTTGACTGCATTTTACATTTGGTTGTTTAACATTGCTTTATGAATAGTCGGCTCTCCATAACTATGCAGAAACCACTGCAAGCGATCTGCTGTCAAATCACCTACAACTGGAATTGAATTGGGTATTCCAGAATTAGGAAGTGTGTTCGTACTGCCTAAGCCAAAGATAATTGAATTAATATAATTATATTAAATTAAAAAAAATTTTTTTTTGCAAGGCACATATTAAGGATATTCTTTGAAATGTACCTGTGACCAAGATCCAGTGAACCACTGACCCCCACAAGGTTTGGTGTTTCTACACATTTTGTGTTCTTTCGGCTTGCTCTTTTTGCCACCACATTTCTTTTCATCAAGTCTGGCACCGTCAGCAGCAGAACAGAACACTTGTCTAGTATAGTAACCTTTACCACACTCTGAAGAACACTGAAATGAGCATCAATAAGGTTTTTTATTCTTTTGGGAAAAAAATTGTATTCCTATTTTTTAACAAATCAAATTGTAAGCTTACATAATGGGGAAACCAACAATGTATTGCACAATATTTTGCCAGGCAAATTTCACTGTATCTCATCAACTGCATACTACATAATTTACAAAAACATATAATGCAGCATTAAGGTGAAGCCTATCAAGTGAACTTCACAAATCATAGCCTACTGTTTTCAATATAGAGTTTACCATGAGTTATAGACTGCAGGATGTGTCTTCTTTTTGCATAACAAGGGACTGCCCATGTCTATGAGACCACCCCAGCGTATTTAAAACATACTGGTCATACATTTGATTAATTATGCTAAATCATGTGCCAAGCAAGAATCTAGCAGATAATGTGCTATGAAAGACTTTGACTTTCTTCTTTACTGAGTTTGTGTCTTTTTCAGAATACTCATTCATTAGTGTGTGTATTCATTTTCCCTTATAGCTGGTACCTGAACAGTTAAATATAAAAAAGTTCTTCAGTAGAACTGGAGTGAGACAGAGGTGCATTCTATCACCACTACTGTTCATCATATTCGTTGACTAAATATGCAAATCAGCTAAAACCAGCAAAGGGGAATTGGTAAATTACTAAACAAATTGCCTTTCACTGGTGACCAGGCAATCATAGCACCAACAGCAGTATAACTACAAGAGCATACTAAAAGACTCCACTCAGAATGCGACAACTATTATATAAAGATCAGCGTAGATAAAACAGAAGTGAAGACATTCTCCAGAAAAGGAAGAACCACCAATATCAAAATCGATGAATGCCAGTTCATGCAAGCAAAGGATTTTACATACCTAGATAGCATTTTTTCAGAAGATGAAAGAATTAATAAAGAAATCAAGCAAAGTTACAATAAAGCTAATCAAGTTTTAGGCCAAATGGCACCAATTTTATGATGATATCAGGAGGAGAGTCCACACAAAACCAATTCTGAACTTTATAGGTAGACAACAAATCAATTGGTTTGGCCATGTAACAAAATTGGCATCAGACAGGGTACCCTAGAGAGCAATGTTATACAGGTACAGAGGTAACAGAACCAGAGGTCATCATCATCATCATCAGGTGCCTTGTCGAATGGCGTAGGCGATCATGACTCTCCACAATCTGCGATCTCCTGCAGCATGCTGATACACCTCCATGCCATGCAACAAGACTGTCAAGAATCTTTTCTCATTGTCTCCCTCTATCCCTCCTTCCACAGATCTTTCCAGTGGTCACAACATGTTCCATTTTCCCTCTTCTTATAACATAGCCAAAAAATGATGACTGTCTCCTTCTGATGTCTGTGATAAGTTGTCTTCGGGCTCCCACCTCTTTCAAAACCTCTTTGTTGCTCTTTTTGGCTGTCCAAAGTATTCTAAGCATTCTTCTGTAAAACCACATTCTGAGGCCTCAAGAAATTGTTTGGCCTGCCTACCATTTGTCCATGATTCACAGCCATATGTTAAAACTGGATGTATGCAGCAAGCAAGATTTCTTTTTTTTTAAACTCTCAATGACAAGGATATATTGCACAAGATGTTTTTTATTTTATAAAATGCAGTTTTTGCCAGTCCTATTCTGTTTCTTATCTCAGTAATGCATCTTCCATCTGATGTTATCCATGTGCCCAGATACTTAAATTTCTGTACTTGTCCTAAAATAGCACCATGAACTTTTATTACACATTTAGGAATAATTCGCTTTTTTGATACCACCATTACTTCTGTCTTTCCATTATTCAAACTGAGGCCTATTCTTCCACTTTCTAACACCACAATGTCTATCATTTTATGTAGTTCTTTCTGACATGTTGCTATCAAGACTGTGTCATCAGCATAATGTAAATTGTTTATTTTGTGCCCACCAACCACAATTCCGGGCATATCAATTAAAAATCTCATTATTTATTCACTGTATATTGAAAACAAATCAGGTGACAGTTTACATCCTTGTCGTACGCCCCTCTTTATGCTTTGAAATGTACCTAAAGAGTTGTTAATTCTTATAGCTGCCAATACATATTTTTTATTATTCATAGATCTTTTCCATCAATGTTTAATTACTCTAATAGTTTAATTACTTTTTCATGCTTCATTAAGTCAAATGCTTTTGTATAGTCTATGAAATATAGGTACAAATCAGTTTGACCAGAGGTCAACCACATAAATTATGGACAGCAGAAATATCTGAGACACTAAAAAGTACTTTATACGAAACAAACAGAAGGGCCCTTCCAGAGATGTCTTCTTGCCTCGAGGCATTTCAGGAGTAGAGAAAAGAAGAAAGAAGAAAAGAAAAAGAAGTTGATACCTGATGAGATGCAGCAAAATATGCTGAGCAATAAATTGTGCAATATGTTGTTTCTCTCCATACTGTTTTGTATAATACAACTTCCACAGTGTGGAGTGTGTAATAAAGAAAGGGTATAGTCTGTCATTTGTTGTGTAAACATAACATAATATGTGTAAAATTTGTACTAAATAAAGGACATAGTATTTTAACTGTTGTGACAAGTGTATACTAAATAAAGGAAATATGGTCATGATATGGTCACAGATGATGTCTTCTGTTGTGACTAGTGATAATGAAGCAAATGTCTTCTGTTGTGGCTAGTGATAATGAAGCAAATGTCTTCTGTTGTGGCTAGTGATAATGAAACAAAAGTCTTCTGTTGTGGCTAGTGATAATGAAACAAATGATGTCTTCTGTTGTGGCTAGTGATAATGAAACATATGTCTTCTGTTGTGACTAATGATAATGAAACAAATGATGTCTTCTGTTGTGGCTAGTGATAATGAAACAAATGATGTCTTCTGTTGTGGCTAGTGATAATGAAGCAAATGTCTTCTGTTGTGGCTAGTGATAATGAAAAATATGTCTTCTGTTGTGACTAATGATAATGAAACAAATGATGTCTTCTGTTGTGGCTAGTGATAATGAAACAAATGATGTCTTCTGTTGTGGCTAGTGATAATGAAGCAAATGTCTTCTGTTGTGGCTAGTGATAATGAAGCAAATTATGTCTTCTGTTGTGGCTAGTGATAATGAAACAAATGATGTCTTCTGTTGTGGCTAGTGTTTGTTATATAAATGATACCTTCTGTTTTGACACGTATTAGTCAAAAGGAATTCGTTCTGTTGTTTAAAATAGTTACCAAACAAGATATGCTTTTTGTTTTGTTAGTTCTTTACCAAGCAAATAATGTATTTTCCTCTGGTAACGTTTATAAAACAAAGGATTTCTTCTGTTGTGACAAATGTTAATGTCAAGGATCACTTCTGCAGTGATAACTGTTTACCACACATGAAATGTACTATGTTTGTGCCAAGTGCTTACCAAACAAATGATGTCTACAGTAGTGTGAAGTTTTTACTATAAAGATGTTTTATAACCATAATAGTACCTCTTCAGACCACTTGGAATGAAACCAGCCTTGAGCACATGATCCCATGTCACAGATTTCTTCTGTCATTGGTTTGATCTGACTGCACAAACTCTCACTGACAGAGTGTCCTGTACTGTTGACACATGAAATGGTTCGAGTTCTCTGACCGAAGCCACAAACTGAAGAACACTGTCATTTAAAAGATGGAAAACAAATTGTGCTGCAGGTAGTACATAATAAAGTTAGTGTATTGAAAATGCAGTATTTAATAACATCAAATTAGTCCCACTGAAGAAACTGCCATTGATCATAGGCATTTATCTATTCAGACAGCCCTGCAGTGAGATAAGGTTTAAATCTGCATCAGGTCAGATCTTGCTAAAAACTGACCTTGGCTCCCAAATAACCCAGCCTTAATTTGGTACTACCTTGTGAAGTAAGTGTGGCTGGTGTGATGTTGTAAATGTTAACTCCTTATATATTCTTCTTCTCAAAGTCCATGTCATGTAGCGTTGGTAGTCATGTAATTCAACAACTTTCTGTCTCGTGTTCTTTCAGTCAGCTCTGATCCAGATGATACTCCATGCCAGGATATCAGACTGTCCAGTATCTTTTTTTCTCGGTCTCCCTCTTCCTCTCCTCCCCTCCACTTTCCTACTCATGGTGTACTCTAGTTTTCTTCTTTACATCACATGACCAAAGAATGTAGATTGTCTTTTTCTGATGTGGCCAGTCAGTTCCCTTTGTGAGTCAGTTTTTTCCAGACATTGTCATTACTCTTGTTATCTGTCCAGGGTATTCTCATCAATCATCTATAAAACCACATTTCCACAGCTTCCAAAAAATGTTTCACTAATCTACCAACTGTCCATGATTCACTTCTATATATCAAAATAACTTCTTTTATATTAAATACAGATAAAAAAAATTCAATGGTCAATCTCAAATAATTTAAATAATGAAGTGGTGAACATGCGTACAATATGCATACAACTGAAAGATGTTTCTATTTTTTTTCCTATTTACATTAAATGTAATAATATCATGTCAAATTAGTAAATTTTAAGAGCAATTTTCAACTGTAAGGAGACATGACTAACAGGTGCAACATTAACTTCAGGAATTCTCGCATGTCAAATATTGAGCCAATTTTCCATTTTACAGTCAACAAAAGTTTTAGTCTCAGGGCTAATACTTTTATCCCACCTGTCTCAGGTACTACTTTGAAATGAAAGAAGTCATTAAAGTATACTAGAAAGAGGTAATAAAACAAAAGAGACTAAGTGGGCCACAGAAATAACTGTCAAGGATAGAAAGAGTTGAAGTAATAATTCTGTAGTTATCACAGGACCGGGTTCAGACAATAAACTGCAGGAATACAGGAAGATAAATAGTTGCAGTTATTTTGATTAAAAATCATTTTACTGGACATTTACAATATAACAAAAATGAAAGAAAAAGTAAATTCTTTGGGCCACAGAATAAGAAAAAGAAAGCTGAAGTATGTTGCTGGCAACTGGAAAGTAACTCTGAAAGACAGCCAGAGGCAGACCAAAAGAGAAGATGTTGGACAGTTTGCCATCATGTATAGAACATTTGACCACAAATGATTGACAGTCTAGAAAACTGGACAAACATAATTATCAGTGCCATCTGGCATGCACCAAATAAGGAAAAAACAATAATAGCAAAGTAAAAATGCCAACCTTGCTCCACCCTGAGGTTTGCCATGTGAAGCAGGGATCCAGCTGACAGAACTGCCTGGTCTGTGGTTGTGGTTGAGTGCAAGCTGATGGTGAAACTGAGAGAGTCAAAGTCGGTGAGATTCTCTGCTTACATTCCACGCTACGTTGCTGTAGACCTCGGCTACAAGTCACACTGCAAGCATCCCACTCACTTATATCCCATCTAAACACAGAACACAGAAGTAATATGTTTTATTATACAGTAAAATATCGTTAACTTGAACACACTTAAGAAGAATAGTCAGTTAACATAAACTTACTTAAGAAGAATGTCAGTTAACATGAACTTAATTAAGAAAAACACTCAGTTAATGTGAACAAACTTTTGGTACCAGAATGAATGTATTATCTTGTTCTTCTTCTTTTTGTTCATCAAAGTGACATAATTATGTTGTGCATGTTTACAGCAAAGCTGTGATATTTGCACCCTTCGACTGACACATCCAACTTCATTTGGCCTTTGTTTACAGGGCAAGCCTTCCTATTTGGTTTTGTGGGACATGATGTGCCCTTATTTCTGTGGTGTCCACTCTGTCCCTTTATGTACAGGTATTGCCCTGGAGAATTCATCTAGGGTAATCTAGTGTCAACTGGTCAGTCCTCAGTCCATCCATTCATGAAAACAAAACAAAAAGTTGACCATGTTCAACCTTCTGCAAGCAGTATCGGCTATGGTGGATCATGGGAATTCCCTGCCATCCAAGGAGGCTTCCATAAATGCAGAGTTGACACATGATGCTCTGGTCCTGGGCTAACCAAAGGAATCGTAATATCCTACCCATGCCTGCTTAACCTCATATCCATATGCTGAGCTTCCCACTCGTCACCAGCTGCGCCCTCTGGATATAATCAGGTTCTGCTCATGCTGTATTTTTTAACATGGCCACATCCATAAAGAAACAATTTAAAATTAACTCATCAAGCAAAAATCAATGCATCTCATGTTCATTTGTTTCTCCAAGCATAATATACTCTTGTTCACTTGTTCTGTTCCATGAAATTGTTATATTAATCCATTTAATGTAAGCTTCTTGCTCTACCAACCAAGCCTATAATGTTATTAAGTTAGCTTCTTCATAACTATAAGTACATTACTTTTACAATACATAACAAAAATAGTAAAAATAACATCTCTTTAGAACAGAATAGAGAACTGTAAAAATACAGGGAACTCAGTCTTCGGCATTTATCACGAAAAATCACCGCTTGCCAGACGTCCACGTTCACGACTGCCTATCCCACAGCCAATCAGCCTCTCATGATGTAGATCCACTTTAGGCTTGGTTTAAAAAAAATTAGGTTGGCCTGGAGAGAATGAGGCACCTGGGTTTAACCAGAGGGTTTGGCCGGCTCAATACACTCATAGGAAAGGCAAGAAGGACATATAACCTGATTGTGACCGGTACCATCAGTACTGGAACTCTGTGCTGGCTGCTGAAGATGAGGGCAGAGCATGCATGTGAATGCCTTGAGTGCTGTGATGTCAAATCTTGACTCAACTCAACTCACTATAGACTATCTGGGTTAGGACTGCATTTTGTTTTACCTCCAACAGAAAAACTTTGTTGCCTTACCAAAGATTTGAACCTGAGTCTCTTGAATGAGAGCCCAGCATTCTTAACCACTCACCCAGCTGCTCTACACATGTTAGTCCCAAGCAAAACACATCTAAGTTCTTTTCTTCTTGTTGCTCACTGGTGTGAATTCCAGCAGGAAATCCCAGTTGTTCATCCATTTGGACTTTTGGCCTTTATCTGGACATGAGATTTGCATGTACATCCCTTTTACTGGCTTATTTGTTTGCAGCTCTCGTTTCCTGCCTCACTGGCAGATATACTCCAACTTCGAGAGAAGACGTCAAGCCTATCTCTAGGATGACTGTGGAAATTGTTTTGTGTGGGTCCACATGTTGCTTTATTCGTGTAGTGTCCTCTTTGTCACTTTAATTACAGGTGTTGCCCCCAGAGAACCCAGCAGCACAGTTTTTCATTCAATCCACAGACTTTTAACCGAGAGTTGTCATTCAGTGGTACATTTTGCAAGCAGACTTTATTCATGTTCCAAATGAGTTTTGATAGACTTTTTCACCCATGCGTTTGGAGATGGGCTGATGAGAGCCAGGAAGGGCACTACACCTCTGGGTGCTGCCAACTCAGAGATCACCTGCCAGCTCTGTTAATGCTTATTTGAGACATATCATTGGCGCACGGCGGGGACACGCAGCAGGAGTCTTGGATGAGGTTCCATAAAACCAGAAGAGTATCTCCTTATACACTCCACATCAGACTTAATGTTCCCTCATGCCTGTGATCGAAATCACCGCCCCACCAGTGAGTATAATATGTATTGTTTTATCAAATATCATGAGACAATTGTACACATCAATATTTGCCTAACTACTGACTTGGCTTGACACGGCTGGTTATTACAGGTGATAGTCGTAGATTCAGGTTTGATGTTCTGGATACAATTTTCTTCCATCACTTCCACTTGTGAATCTCTTTTAACACAAACAATACGGGTATCCTGCAACCCTGATGAAAGCAAGCATAGGTTATATTTCTTAAAAAAAAAAAACGAAAGGAAAGGTTTCATTTTACAGCATGAGTCATTTTAAGTCTAGAAGCAGACGAACAACCAGAACTTTTCACCAGATTTTGCAGCCAGTGAACGCTAAGGAAGGAAGGTCAGAAGGAAGGAAGAATATTAATTAAGTATTATATCAGTTAATTTCTACTGCACTGTGGAAACAAGAAATTATAACAGTTATCATCATCTGCACTTTAAGGCAGGGGAGAGTATAAAAAATGCTGCTACAGTCTCAGGTAAAGAGGAGGAACCTTATGACAGAAGTTCGGTAGGTGGTGAGCAAGAATGGGGAAAGGACAATCCAAGACATCAATTTGTAAAGACAGCTGGAGCACACAGTGAAAGGTAGAAGTGACAAACCACCCATGTGGGTGTGAATTGCTTGGGAAAGCCACTACACTGTCTTAAGAAAAGTAAGTTTATAAACACATACAAGCCTAGAATGGAATACAGATATGGTTTTAATATTTTTTGCCAGTCATACTGAAAAACATAAAATTATTGCACATAGCATTCGCACACAAATGCACATGTGCATACATCCATATGAACACACACATATCTAAGTTTGTATTGCAGTTTTATACTTTACATATAAACACTCATTTATATGTCTTACATTATACTAGCTTCACTAAAATGTATACAAATTTCTTTTTAAAATCTATGCCGTTTGGCACTGGTAGTCATGTCTATCCACAACCTTCTGTCTCTGTACTTTCACTCAACTCTGACACAGATAATCTTCGATGCAATGATGTCAAACTGTCCATGATCTTCTCTCTTGGTCTCCCTCTGCCTCTCTTCTTCTCGAACTTTCCTACCATCAGGAAGTTCGCCAGCTTTCTCCTTCTCATGACATTAGAAAGAATGTAGATCATCTCTTTCTGATATGGGCTATCAGTTCTTTTCATGAGTTAATTTCTTTCAAGACATCTTCATTACTCTTTTTATTTGTCCTGGGTATTCTCATCAATTGTCTTTTTTCCTCTGATAGCCTGTGTAATACCTCATGGGGAGGGGTAGCATACCTGCTTAGCTCTTTGACTAGGGTTACGTGAAGTCATAGAAGGAAGGTGATGGATAAATGTGGGAAGCAGCTGAGAAGTTTTCACTACTGGTCACCATTTCAACTAGATGTCTCTATAAACTCAATGGCTAGGACAACTGTCAAGTATCGGCACTGCTCTCACAGAAAGAAATTGCAACCTACTGTGAGTATTTTGCAAAGGAAAGTCATGTCAATATACCAATTGTTCAATGTAAAGGACGCTAAGGGGAGTTCAAGAACTGCCTCATCCTTGTAGAGGCCTGCATGTGTTACAGATGCAGTCAGCCTTTATCCGGTTACTGTATGCACAACTAAAGAATGTATACACACTACAAACAGGAAAGAACATTTACAAAATTTGTAACACACATTTAACAAAATAGATTTTAAAGAATGAATACAAGTTACCTCTGTCAAAACAGTTACAGGACATAATTAAAATGATTGCCTTGAATGTCCAAACACTTAATTTTGTTCCAAACCTCTGCTTGTGCAACACACTGACCCTTTCTTTCCCAAGTATTGACACTAATTTTCATGTAAAGACATCTTCTGAGAGATCATTGTCTTTACTGCTACCGTAATTCTTATCTTACTACATTTACTTCTAAAAGATGGCTGGCATATTGTGTCGCGGTTTAAAATTAGGACCCTAGACGGGGCGACTACCAAAATGAAATCTGTTTCAGAACCATGAATGATGTGCGTTAAATTGTGTATAAATTTTTGGCTCTCTCTCTCTTTCTGTGCATGTGAGAGAAAGAGAAAAAGAGAGAGAGAGAGAGAGAGAGAGAGAGAGAGAGAGAGAGAGAGAGAGAGAGAGAGAGAGAGACAGAGATAGAGAGAGACAGAGAGAGTGGGGAACATTTCAATTGTCAACTTACCTCCACCACATGATTCAGAACAAGCGGTGAATCCAGATATACGCCACGAGTAGAGGTTGTGATCGGGATTGTGACTATTCAGTATATTATCATAACCATTGTAATGTCTCTCTGAATATGTATCAGCAGTTGACCTGGAACCTCCCTGCTGCTTCTGCAAGGAGTTGGCTAAACTGTTGTGAAGGGGTCCAGACCTACCAGGTGGCTGATGCTGCACTGCTGACCTCAGTTCTGCAAATCTGTAGGTGAGAATTACATCCAGGAATTAGAAAAACATGCAGGTGCTTAAGGTTTTTCAAAGTGTGCAAGATTTTTGATGATACAATGACAAATGATAATAAATCCTTCAACTTTTTGTGTCCCAAACAATGCACTATGCATGATTGGGTATTATTCATATATACCAGGGCTATTCAACTGGTAGCCCATGAGCCAGATCTGGTCCGTGGACGTCCAGCAAGTGGCCCGTAGACCACTGTCAATTCTAATGTAATAATGCTCTTTCTATTCTAGATCTCAGGCCTCTGGCCCGTGATGATCGTTATTTTCAAAATTGTGTATTATTTTAACTAAATGTGACCCAAATGTTTACTGGTTAAAGTAGACAGCTTCTGTCATAGAATAAGTTAACCAGTGCCTGCCTGGTACTGAAAAAATTATGAGAATCATCAAATGCTGTATGGTGAAGAAATTTGGACAATGAATAATCACTAGAAAATCAAACTGTCTCTGGAAATGTGGATATACAGAAGAATAGGTCTTAGGTCATGGGAACACAAACAATCAAATAAAGAGGTTCTGGGGAGGCTGCGTTTGAAAACAGAGTTACTGAAATAAATAAAGAGACATTTGAAGTATTTTTGCCACATTAAGACATAATCATTATCATCAAGTGCCTTGCTGACTGGCGTGAGCGTTTATACCTCTCCCCAATCTTCAGTCCGCAGCTGTGTCTATCAGTCGTAAATTGACACCCTTCAATACCATGTCAAAAGGCCATCAAGAATCTTCTCACACTGTCTTTCTCTGTCTCTCTTTCCCCAGATCCTTCCAATGGTTACAACATGTTCCATTTTCCCTTTTCTCATAACATGAACAAAATATGATGACTGTCTCATTCTGATGTCTGTGATAAGGAATTCTAAGGATTATTATGAAAAAACCATATCTCAGAGGCCTGAAGATATTTTTCGGATTGTTTTCTAATTGTCCAGGCTTGTTTATTAATTGTTAATAATTATGTCAAAAAACATAATTCTCTTTTAAAAACGGCACTTGGGAAAAAGGTTGACAGCAAGAGGGCGAGAAGTAGATAAGAATACAAGTGGGAGGACAACCTCAAGAGATGGACAAACAATAGTTTGAGAGGGTGTACAATGAAGACAAGTTACAAAGTGTTGGAGATCCATTGCAACAAACCTTTATTACTGAGATGGCATCTGATTGACTGATCTCACTGGTACTAAAAGAGTTAATTTATCAAACTTCTAAAGATATATATATTGTCATGAAGTCAAATCATTAAAATGTGACCAGATCATGTATACGAAATAATTTGCAAAAAGATAAAAATAGCTACTGCTCCCTGTTCATTGTTCACTTTTGAGATCATCTTCATTGCACATCGGACATGACCATACATGTTCCAATGTCCTCCTGAGTATGTCTTCAAGTGTTTTTAGGATAATAACTACCATTCTGTTCTGGCTGATATAACGATGGGTGGCTCCAGAATGTTTTCCTGTCTCATGGCTCAAATTTGTACATCAAGGGTATGCAGTCTATTCAATGAAAAAAAATCATTTTCCGCGAAACTGAAAGCCTTTGAGCGTTTAGTCTCTCGTTTGGCATTGATGATGTCTCTTCTGTACATGAAGGGCCCATTTTTTATAGTCCCACTGCCAGTCAGAGCATCTGCTCTCTCATCACCTTTTACACCAGCATACATTGGGACAAAAATGAAAGTATTTTGTGAAACGCTGCGTGCTGTATCAGATGGAGTCACTGTTTCCATATGTACCCTGCCCTGATCTCTGTAACATGCTCACTGAGTCACTGAGCAAACATGCATTAATGAACTCCTGAGTATTCAGCCATTCTAGGGCCTTTGTTACAGCCATGACCTCCACTGCATGCCACTGATGGTAGAAGCAAGGCTCCACTATCTTCTTCAATGACTTTCCCTTTGGTTCTTGCTATGAAAGCCATGCGCTTCACTTCCGATGAAACTCAGAACCATTTGTATAAATAACAGCATCTCACAGTGATGTGCATTACTCCACCAACGCTTTAACTTCTGCATCAACTATTGATTTAGTCAAATCACAGCCCTGTCTTGTCAGGGTGATAACTACCACAAAGTACTGTTTGTGTTCATTTGGTATGAGTATCCATTCCTTTCCACAGTTTATGTCTAAAAAAGGAAATCACCTGCTGAAGTACTGTCTCTGCCTGGCCTAACCAAGACTGGCCTCGTTTAAGTTTGCTGCCTTTAGCAAGAAAGAGAGAAAGAGAGAGAGAGAGAGAGAGAGAGAGAGAGAGAGAGAGAGAGAGAGAGAGAGAGAGAGAGAGAGAGAGAGAGAGAGAGAGAGAGAGAGAGAGACAGACAGACAGAGAGAGACAGAGAGAGACAGAGAGAGAGAGATAGATAGAGAGAGAGAGAGAGAGAGAGAGAGAGATAGGGAGAGAGAGGATTTCAATTCAAATAGCAATAAGATCAAATACTATAAATGCCCTTTTCAAAACTTCACACACTACCTTATGGTACATTATAATAACCACAGTTGCAAATCAAAATACCTTGTTTTGTGTTCAGAATTTCTAACAAACCCTGTGTCTCTTTGAAGTCCTTCACTTTCCCCTAAGACACTGTTATCAGAAGCCACCATTGGGATATCCCCAATATCATCATGGGCATTCGTATGGTAGTAATGTTTGTACACAACAGAGCCATTTTCTCCAGCTAGATGAAACTGATTCCTCAGTGGTTCCAGCAGGATTTCTGCATCATTTCTATCAGGTGGCAAATTTGTAAGATGCTTTTTCTCGTTTCTCGGATGGCTGGACTTATCATGAACAGTTGATGATTCTGCAGACTGAGGTAGCTGTCCATGGCTAGGCGGATAATGCTTCTCACCATTTGATACAAGGTGGCTTGATTTATAATCTGATGCTGCTCGATTAGGAGTAACTTTAGCAGAAATACTCAGCTGGTGTTGCTGCCTCCTTGTCTGCGTGTCAGATGCATAAACTGGAGATTTTCCATGTTTAATCCGTGGAATTATATCTGTCCTAGTTGTGCCTTGTTCTGTAAGATAATGTAGCACAATATAAAACAAAAACTAGTTTGTAATAATAATAATAACACAAATGAAACAATAATATAATGACTGATACTTCTTTTACCATTTTTCATCTTTCATATTATTCTGAGAGGTCTAAAACAAGCTCTTATGGGAATCTCATTCACATATTTATTCTCTATCCCTATTTTCTTTCTGTCCACCTCTTTGTGTCTCATCCGTGTGTCTAGCAGTGCCCAGTTTCAAATGAGATGATGGGACTGAAATGAGTGTGGTGTATCTGTTTTAAATACTTTTGATAGAATCTATCCAGAGATTGATAGTCTGCCTCTACTACATTAGCCAGAACTCTTTAGTTTTAGACTTTAGGGGAAATTTACTGGAGGGGACAGGTAAAAAACTTCTAACAAACATATACTGGTTGCCTTGTGAATAGATGCAATGGCTAGAGAAAGTACACCCATCAGAAATACTGGTTGCTGTTAGTCAACTGGGTCATAGCTAGACAAAACATTGTAATAAAAGACTATAACAAGTGACTCTTCCACTGCATACTATATGTAAATGAAAAAATTCTGAGAGTTTAGCACAGAGCCACTAAATGTACGATAAAACACCCCATAGATCATCCAGTTCAAGGAAAAATAAAGATAGCATGATTGAAGGGTGACAATTGTGAAGGTTGGAGTTTATCATGTCTTTGTGAGTGACATCATCATGATCACTTTCAAATTTTGACAGGGAGCATGGCTTTCATCATTCCACGTCAGTATAGATGGTCTTTGATGCTATCAGTCCACAGTCTCCTAGGATGACCTCCTACTTTCACACTGGATTGTTTTATGTGTAGTGCTTATATTGGTGGTTACTGTAGCTGTATTATAATGAATTGACCAAACAGTTTTTTCTTCTGTTTCTCAATGAATTTACTTCATTTATGGCCTTGTCCACACCCTCTCTCCGACAGTATTATTTATCATTGTTGGTGTGAATATGCTGTTTATAATCTGCTTCTTGATTCTCACACATATATTTGAAAGTCTTAATAATGGTGTCAATTGGTACATAAGTCCACTGGCACACCAGCACCTTGTTTCTATTTCCCTTATTATTCTTCTGTACTCTGAGATTACTCTATTCTCCTGTTAGTTAATTAGTTGCGTATCCTTTACAGGACATTTAAAAACCAATCCCAACATTTTCTGGCTGCTGTGGTTTTTCTAGGCAAATTTATGCCCAGTATTTTGCCATTGCTTCTGGACGGTTGGCTTCTCGATACCACTGTCGAAAACAACGCAAGGCACAAGGCTCGCAGCTGGGATTGAACCCATCACTCCGGCATTACGAAGTGCGTTCACAACCCCTGAGCCACAGATGCCAACCCATTCTCCTGTACTTTGAGATTATACTTCCTAGAGATATAAATTCTTTAACTTGCTTCACTCAAGTGCCATTCAACCCTATCTGTAGCAGACCAGGAATTCTAATATATACTTATTACATATATATATATATATATGTCTAGAATAAGATGTAAAGACGAAAAAAAGTCTGATGGGCACACACAAACACAAACATGCACACACACACACACAAACATGAACACATATACACACACAAACATGCACGTGCACACATGAACACTTGTGTGCACACATTTACACACACACACACACGAGAAATGTTATCTGTATATGTGAGAATTATACATTGATCTTCAATTACCTTCACTTTGAGAAGTGTGCTATGGCACATTATCAAATTCAAATAGAAAAACAATTTTAGCTACATTTTGGGAAAAATTATTGTTACTCTTTACCTCAGAAACAAAGATGTGATGAGCTCCATCCTTGACACTTACCCACTGAAATAATTATATCCTTGTTTAAGATGTCTATTTAATGAGTGGCATAATTAAAGTAAGGATAACAGACATTTTGTGAGTAATGCACATACAAGTGAGCTTGCACTTATGTCATCACAACACTGATTATTCACAGACCTCCATTATTCTGATGACTTTGTCTCTCTTCTGTATCTCTACCAGAGGGATGAGGTACATTGAAAGATGATCCTCTATTATGTAACGATGACAAAGAGTTCATGAAGTTGTAAGTATCTCCACGGGGTACAGTAAAATCATAGTAAATCCCAGGGTTTCTGCCAAAGTATAACAGCTGAAAAAATATTGGAAACATTGTTAGTTACCAGTTTTAGCACAAAATGTACAACTCAACTATTACGACTGCAATATTAAAGAAAGTACATTCAAAGGTGAAAGAATGGATTTGATTGCCCTGCAGACCAGCCCAGCTGTATGCCCGCAGGGGTTGCAGACGATTTACATGGACACCAGAAACTTTGGTATCTGCGATTGGAAGTATGGTGTCATAAGTTTTATATACTTTTGTCATCAGGTAAAGACAATTTCAGACAGTGACTCTATTCAACCATATTGAACATTCAGTGTACTATCTGAGTTTGCTAGTTTTGAATTCATTCTAATGACTTTTTCAGAAAATTCTAAACATTCAGGTTAAATAAAAATAAATGATGAAGAATTAAAATGACACAGCCATGCAAAAGCTTATGTACTATTCAAACATAGGGAAATTTAAATCATTACCACTACAGATAATTAGCTAATATCATAGTCCAGTGGTTAGTAAAAACAGTGCCGATACTCACCACAAAGTGTCTATTACAATAGTGTTAGAAATAGGATGCCCAGAAAAACGTACTATTGCACAGTACAAAAAGCCCTGGTGGTTAGTACACTGGTCAGCAGTCCATGTTCCATCCTTGTAGTGGCCAGTTTTCTGAGCCAGCTACATAAAAATGGGTCCTAGATACCTTTCAGTTACTGGGAATTATTTGGAAAGGATCTTTCCTTTCCAAATAATTCCCAGTAACTGAAAGGTAAGGATGGAAACTGGTCACCCAAATCATATGTGGTGGCCTAAAATATGTGAAGGCCTTTATAATCAATGGTAGTTTCTGATATAGGCCTCGTTTACCTTTTCATCATTGTCTTCTTCATCTTTTTCTCAGCGTTCACTGACTGAACTTTAGCTAAAGTTCTGCTTTATTATCCACTCTTGAATTTTGGTCGTGATCCAGAATTTAGTTTTGCACACACAACCATTTTACAAATCTGGCTCATCTATAGGCAGAGTGTTAGATCTCTGCCTCTCAGGCAGATCCAATCCGACTTTAAATAAAACACCCCTAATTAGTCACCGCCTATGACATGCTTGTTGGGGTAGGGGTGGGGGGGGGGGGGGGGTGTGTAGGGGGAAGAGACACTGGACTATTCTCCAAAATGGAACCCAGAACCCACACGGAAAACTTAATTTTTAAATTACTGTAAATGGATTACTATACGTTGACCAATAAAAATATTTGAAACATCATTAGTCTAATATGTGCATCTGTGTGCCTGTGCACACACACATAAGAAATTTGTCTGTTAATATGATGGTAATAAAAATATCTGCAATCATCTGTGATGATACATTTTTAAAAATCTGCAAATGTTATCTGTATCTGTGATACAAAATCTGCAATGTTACCTGTATCTATGAGTGTGATACAAAATCTGCAACGTTACCTGTATCTATGAGTGTGATATAAAATCTGCAATGTTACCTGAATCTATGAGTGTGATACAAAATCTGCAACGTTACCTGTATCTATGAGTGTGATATAAAATCTGCAGTGTTACCTGTATATATGAGTGTGATACAAAATCTGCAATGTTACCTGTATCTATGAGTGTGATACAAAAGCTGCAATGTTACCTGTATCTATGAGTGTGATACAAAATCTGCAATTTTACCTGTATCTATGAGTGTGATACAAAATCTGCAAATGTTATCTGTATCTGTGATGGTGAACAAAAATTATGCAAATTTTATCTGTATCTGTGACTATGAGACAGATCTATAAATGGTATCTGCAACTGTGATGGTGAATAAAAAAATATCTTCAATTACCTCCACTCTGAGGGATGTATTGAGAGGTCCTGCTGCCAGCAAACACTCTCCAGGACAATTCTGACTGGTGCTCCTGTTGTAAGTAAATGTTGTACCAGCACCTTTGATCTCACCCTCCTGTTGGAGTTTCATGTCTCCATTTAAGAAATACCCAGAGGATGTAGACAGAGCTGGGGTAAAGGAAACAACAAGAATTGAGGCATCTCCTAAACTGTTACATGCTGGTGAATCATATGGGATGATTTTTGTTTTTTTTTGTGTGCTGAGGATATTCCTATTTATCATGAAACTCAATAATTCAGGTGTATGAGACAATGAGCAGGCTGAAGGATTTGCTGTTTCTGTGTCTCTGAGCGGTGAGTTGTTTAATTCTAAAACGAACCAGTTAAGTGGAATAGAAAACCCATACGACCATGCTATTTCAGATAGGAGGGGGACATTCAACAGGCAAACGAGAAAAAGATAAATGAAACTGTATAATTGGATGGACACTGGCACTGTCTGCATCGTGATTCTTCATGAGTTATTGAAGCAGGAGACTGATGATGTGTGGGAATGTCCCCAGTGCATTTATGTTATTGTCGATTTTTTATTGCTAAACTGGTATCCTTTCATTTCGATCACCAACTATTGACTGAAAGTTGTCCTACATAGACAACAATTCTTAAAATAAACTTTTAAAACTGTTTGGATGTCTCAAAGAATTGCAAAATACGATAAAAGACATTATGAAAAGCAGGGTTCTAGGGTATAAATGATTAGAGCAAAGGTGAAAGAGAAAAAAACATTTCTAATGTAAACTTTCTTCTTCATTTTTGTCGGCATTGGTTTTTTCTCTCCTCTTTCTGCTTTATTTATTCAGTTTTTCTCTAGAATCCTCTCTGTTATTTGCCATTTCAATTATTAAAACTTTCTGTCTGTTCTCCCCAAAACTTGTGTCTTTACCTTGTGGTGTTGATGAATTATTTTACAACACATGTAGCTCTCAGTATCTCAGCTCTTGTTTGTCTCTATCCCTGATATTATCCATATACATCATCTTAACTCTATAATTATTTGTCTCTATCCCTGATATTATCCATACACATCATCTTCACTGTCTATAATTGTTTGTCTCTATTCCTGATATTATCCACATACATCATCTTTACTCTATAATTATTTGTCTCTATCCCTGATATTATCCATACACATCATCTTCACTGTCTATAATTGTTTGTCTCTATCCCTGATATTATCCACATACATCATCTTTACTCTATAATTATTTGTCTCTATCCCTGATATTATCCATACACATCATCTTCACTGTCTATAATTGTTTGTCTCTATCCCTAATATTATCCACATACATCATCTTTACTCTATAATTATTTGTCTCTATCCCTGATATTATCCATACACATCATCTTCACTGTCTATAATTGTTTGTCTCTATCCCTGATATTATCCACATACATCATCTTTACTCTATAATTATTTGTCTCTATCCCTGATATTATCCATACACATCATCTTCACTGTCTATAATTGTTTGTCTCTATCCCTGATATTATCCACATACATCATCTTTACTGTCTATAATTGTTTGTCTCTATCCCTGATATTATCCATATACATCATCTTCACTGTCTATAATTTATTCATCATCTTATTAATTTATTATTTATTGCTCAGCCTTGACGTCTGTCCAGAAGAACAGACCACATGTATGGTTTCACTAAAATGAATTTTTTTTTTAAATTTCCGTTGTGAATTTATGTACATCATTTTCAGCAACACATAGTAACAGTAGCAACAGCAGCAGCTCCGCATTATCAGCATCATTTTCAGGTGTTTAATCAAGCAGATGTCTATAGCCAAGCTTCTTGTACGTCAGTGTGATTTTCTGATAGCCGTTAATAAATTAATTATGATATTTCTATCTCTGGCTACAATTTCTTGATTGTGTTTCTGTTAACTGACAATAAATTGTATAAAAACATTGTTTTTTTCCCCCCACTTTGTATTTCTTTTTCATTTACCTGACATCTAAGTCATATTTCATTTTCATCCGTTTCTGTGAAGTTCTTTGTTCTCTCTACTTCGAGTTTGTATCCACATCCTAGAACATCGGTCCCACTCATTTGTGCTCTGTCCTCAGATGCAGCAGCCATCTCAGTGTCTCCATGCTCACTGTACCCAGTAGGAGTTGACTGTCATGTCTTCTTTCTGTGCTACTTAATCTGCCTCTGCATGCCTATCCTCGTTCAAAACCCATTTCCACTATCAGTTCACCATCTCTGTCTCTATTCTTTACCTGTCATCTGGAAATTCTTCTTGTGTTTAATTTCTTTCTCGTTCACATTTTATCACCTTGTTCACTGTGTTTGTGACCCCAGTCTAAGAACATAACATAAATTAATGGTCAGACATCAAACGTTAACAGTTTAAAACCCATTAAGTGCACACATACTTACTGCAACCATTAAACATATTTTCACACAAAAACAAGACTTATGATTTATTACAGACTATGCCACATATACGTTCTACAACAATTAAATATCTGGCCACACAAATGTACGACATGTGATTTGTGTAAAAAACTATGTTCCTCGACCAAGAAGACAGCTCTGTTTCACATTAGCTTGTCTAAAATGTTCGTTTACTATCCTAAACAAGCACTCATTACAGCGTACAAGTGAAAACACATTTAGCCTCACAATGTTTTTGATACTCAGCTACTGACTTCAAAGAAACATCCGCGCGTTAAATTTGGAAGAATAAATGTTTTCTGTATTCTAAACATAAGTTACAGGCATCACTGACACAAGAGGAGACTTGAGACCGTTAGTTATAACTAAGCAGACGCACTTGAAATAATTTATGTGACGTGTGTTACGTTTTAAAACAGTGGGCCCGAGGCCTCGGAGATTGGGGACCGTTAGGTAGTGAAGCTTATGTATTTATTTATAAACATCACGGCTGGTTGAATATATTGCCGTCGTCATACATACACACACACACACACACACACGCACTCAAGCACACACACAGACACGCACACTCGCACGCACGCACACACACACAGAGGTATTTAAAGTATTTTGCTTGCTTAAGTTGTTGGCTTGCTGGACACATCTTGACTGATTGGTTGGTCGGTTCTTACAATGCTCATAATTTATCTGGTTTCTAGTTTAAAGGCCGAACTTGGAGCCCATGCAGTTTTGTAAGGTCAGATGCCGTTTTGAACCAGGGCCAGATTTTGACTCGATGAGGCCCCAAGCTATAAAAAGCTTCGTTGAGGCCCTACTGTTTTTAAATTACACAGTACACAATTTAAATAGGCTACAACAAGTATGAATAAATATAAGCCTGACACAGGTTAGTTGCGTATCCTTTACATGACGTTGCAGAACCAACCCCAACAGCCCTGGCTGTTGTGTGGTTTTACTAGGCAAATTTACGTCCAGTAGTTTGCCATTGATTTTTGGACGGTCGGCTTTCTTGATACCACTGTGGAAACCAACACAAGGCGCATGGCCCGCAGCTGGGATCGAACCCGGCATCCCGGCATTACGAAGAAGCCTGACACAATATACCCACAATAATATTCATAAAACTGGAAAACTGTATTTGCTTAATAGAAAAAAAATTAATTGAGGCCCCTGCAAAGTTTGCCGCACTAAACTGTAGCTTAGCTCAAGCCTACATCCGGTACGGTTGTGAACGCATGACGACAGACCAAAGGATAAGTGTTAGCCACCGGACAAGTGCTGCTCCCCCCTTTAAAAAATGATACTTACCCAAATGGTTGCTGCTGCGACCCATCTCAGTGATGTTGATGCTACAAGCTCCCGCCGGAATTGTGGTGATGACGTTGTAGCCTTGGTGGGCCAGGTGCATGCGGGTGAAGATTCCACGAATTAAGCGACACGCGGTGCCATCTCCGCCACAAACACCACATCTGTCCACTTGTGTCTCGGAGTCCAGAATTCCATCACAACCAGACTTCTGCAAGGCAAAAATGAAAAAAAAACGAATGTTTCGGACATGCATGTGATGACATCTACATTATATATACACACACACGGGCGCGCACACACATTCACATGATTTAGACATGCATTTGATGACATCTACATTATATATACACACACACGGGCGCGCACACACATTCACATGATTTAGACATGCATTTGATGACATCTACATTATATATACACACACACGGGCGCGCACACACATTCACATGTTTTAGACAGGCATGTGATGACATCTACATTATATATACACACACACGGGCGCGCACACACATTCACATGATTTAGACATGCATTTGATGACATCTACATTATATATACACACACACGGGCGCGCACACACACATTCACATGATTTAGACATGCATTTGATGACATCTACATTATATATACACACACACGGGCGCGCACACACATTCACATGTTTTAGACATGCATTTGATGACATCTACATTATATATACACACACACGGGCGCACACACACATTCACATGATTTAGACATGCATTTGATGACATCTACATTATATATACACACACACGGGCGCGCACACACATTCACATGTTTTAGACATGCATTTGATGACATCTACATTATATATACACACACACGGGCGCGCACACACATTCACATGATTTAGACATGCATTTGATGACATCTACATTATATATACACACACACGGGCGCGCATACACATTCACATGTTTTAGACATGCATTTGATGACATCTACATTATATATACACACACACGGGCGCGCACACACATTCACATGTTTTAGACATGCATTTGATGACATCTACATTATATATACACACACACGGGCGCGCACACAAATTCACATGTTTTAGACATGCATTTGATGTCATCTACATTATATATACACACACACGGGCGCGCACACACATTCACATGTTTTAGACATGCATTTGATGACATCTACATTATATATACACACACACGGGCGCGCACACACATTCACATGTTTTAGACATGCATTTGATGACATCTACATTATATATACACACACACGGGCGCACACACACATTCACATGTTTTAGACATGCATTTGATGACATCTACATTATATATACACACACGTGGGCGCACACACTCATTCACACATTTATACTCATATGTAAGAAAGCCGGCTTTAGTTGGTAAAGACATACGAATGTTTCTGTATTTATATAAAGTGAAAGTCTTATATCTTGACTCTCAAAGACAGGCTGCCCAGGTGATTGCGACTATTATTTGTAAATGTTCACGACAGGATACCCTCTCCTTGTCTTGTTATTTAATTTTCAACGACTATACTTTTTAAATGGAAGTCGCGGTAGTGTACTGGCTGATAGTTACTGGGCTAAGGGAATATTATCACACAGAAAAAAATGTACACACAGTATTATAGAATAAAACTCGTGGAATAAACACGCGAATCGCTAAACTTTGAATGATAGAGAATTATCTGTTTATCTATTTGTAGAAAAGTCTCTTTTCACGCAAGGGCATACGACCCATATTTTTAAAGACGAATCGGTGGGTAATGGGTCAACATCACATCATTCGCCTTTACTTCCCGTAACTTAACCCTTTACTTTGGTACTCATGTAAAGCTGGGTCGATCAGTTAGCAAATGTCATATTTTTTGTCTCTTGCGGGCACGCGTTTAGCAGCTACATCACAGCGGCTGCTGTAAGTATGTAGAGTAAATACATACTAAGCCTGTCGTAGGCGTGAGAACCCTTCAGGATAGCCCGGAGTAGGACAGTCAGCCAGTCAGGTTTGTCTGTTTTATTATTATCATTGTAATCCTTTCAAGCAGACATATACTTCGCGTGTCGCAAGGGTGACAAAGCCCGAACACTGTAGTCCATACATCATATATCTTCGAACACAACAGTGAGGGCGAACAGAAGGAAGGAGACCAATATCGATCTCACAGCTTTCAGATAATTAGGCACACGGCCTAACCACGTCGCCAGGAAGACCCATCATTAGTTATGCAGTTGTTTCACTTGAATTTTAAATAACTTTCCGTTCGCTAAAGACACAGTTAAATGTACACACGATTTGATATATAACGTGTTTCGGAACATCAAATTAATCACGATAACTTGTGAAGCACCTCTTGTATTGTACCTACATCGTAAGGAACATTTCACTAGCTGTGTCTTTTTGTGAAAACAGATTACCACACAAAAAGCTCTTATCTCCAACAGTGAAATATAAACAATGTCTGTTTGCCCGCCTACTGCCCCTGAGATTTATTTATCTTCTGTTATAACTTGTATGAGTGGTTTCTTTAATGGAAAAGTAAAGGGAAGCAACTCGGTGATATGCCAGTAAGGCACACTAAGGCTAGAATGTCAGGGTCATGAACAAAGTGAAGCATATTTATGTTGGGGTGCCGTGGTAATGTAGCGGTTAGACGCTTGTATACGGATCCAAATGTCGTGATTTCTAGTCCTGACAGAGCCGGACATTTTACAGAAATGACCTTGACTCCCAGGTGGACCCAGCCTGAACTGGGTACCAGGTAAAGTCATGGGAAGTGTTTTGACCACATCACCCAACCAGTGTCTATTGGTCTATACAATATGATGATGACTGGCACCTCTCCGTCTTTCCAGATGATAGTGTTATACTGTGCTATGAGAAGGCATGGGACTCACAGCGCATGGCGATTGCGAGTGCGACTAGAAGAACGGCCCGCAGTAAGAAAAGTCTTCCACAATTGTAGCATGGGATTAAGGAGCATTGTTGTTAACTTTTGTGTTACGGGTGCCATAACTGTAATTTGTTTGGAGGTTGAACAGGGAATCTGGATCTGCCTTGTTGGTCTGCCGTTCTGACTGAGATTTTCCAATCTCAGGACAGAATGGCAAACCTTTAGGTAGTATGACTGAGGGGACAAGCTGATCGATCGACATTGAAGAAATATACCCCTATGGGACATGTCCATCATCTTTATTATTCATCGATGCCCAGGAGTTTAGCATAACACAGAATCATAACTATCTATGATTTAAAATACGTAAGACAACTGTCCTGTTTTTAAAAAAAATGTTGAATTTTAAATTAAGAATCCACATCATAGCACTAGGAACACTATCATAAACGCTCGGCCCCCGTCTTAAGAAGCAAACGAAGAATTCAAATTCCGATGGTGCCAGTCTGATTGCACATCCGTCTCGCCTTTCCCTTGAGTGGTAAGCTTTGGCCTGACTCCTAGTAACTTCCTGCTCAGACGGTAATTATCTGTCTGTGTCCCCGCACTGCTCACTAACTCCCAAAGGGCCCTCACAACATCTAGTTTGTCATACACAATTCCATCACCAAATGGTGCAGAACCGCCCACTCTATCTGCATGCTTTTTTTCCAATACACAATCATACCCTGAAGAGAATATCCAAAAGACACTAAATACCCGGGACCTCTGAAGCGATGATTGCCACTTTGTGAGTCAGTTACAATTACGTCATGTGTGTCCTTTTTAAACTAAGATATTAAAACAAATTAAAAACTCCACTCTACTAATTGGCCTTGCCTGTCTGAGCTTCAGGTGACTTTGTGGCCGTCGGAGCTCCCAAAATAAACACAGATGAAGGGGGTATCTGGCATTTGTAGCTGGGAGTTCTCATCCAAGCAGTGACACTTCGCATCACCGGGGTTACTCGTTCAGTGTGCGCTGCTAGTGGGTTTCACTTTCACTCGTTCACTCAAAAAAGTTCAGTTTCATAATACTTTAAAAGAAGACAAGATTCAGAAATTAATTGTGGACAGGCAGATGTCAACTAATGTTATCGCTTTCTTCTCCTTGTGTTTGGTCTAAAACAGACATAAGTGATCATGGATCTCCAAACTTGTTGTCATCTGACATTTCGATGACATTTGTGTTTGTCATTCTATCTGTGCCCATCTGTTTGAGTTTTCCAAATGCATATTTGTTTTCTTGTGTCTCTCTTGTCTAATTTTGTCATCATATAAGTTACCTCAATACAGGAAAATGACAATTATTTTTAAAGCAAAATGCAAAATAAAACTGAAGGCAGATTCAGCAGAAGATTTGCTGACTACGGCTCAACGTATATTAAGCATGTCCGAAAGAACATTGAGCCTGACTGAAAGTAGGTTTAATATCACTAAAGATATGTTAAATGTTGTGGAAAGATTGTCACTATCACTGAAAGTATGGTTAGGATGACTGAAGGATCACAAGTTTAAAATGACTGTATTTGGAAGCAACTAAGATGTGGTTCTTGAGAATAATGTTGTGAATACTTTGGACTGCCAGAATAACTAACTATGATTGCCCGGTATTGGTTAATGAAAGTATAGCTTTATATACAACAATTAGAAGGTGACAAAATGATTATGTGATGGGAAAAGAGCACTGGAAAATATGACGATTGAAAAGATCACTGATAGAAGAGGCAGAGGCAGACCAAGAGAAATGATGGTGGATGGCTTAAGACAGTGGCATGGAGGAAAATCATCAGTGCAGTTGTTTAAGAACACTAAAGGTCAAGATCTGTGGAGATGCATGAACGCCTACGCCAGCTGGCAATGCACTTGATGATAATATGAATCCTGGACAATTTATAAAAAAGCGAAACGATTTCTTAATGTCTCTGAGATGAGGTATAGAAGAATTGATAAAGTTCCTTTGACAGTCACATTGTTATTATGTTGCTGATGGTATGCTCAATATCTCTTAAAATGTATGTTCATTACCGGTGAAGGTCTTTTAAGTATTGTTTGAAATATGTTTAGCGTGACTAAAGATATAAGGGTTGAAAAACCAAACTTTAGCTTATGTTTCATTGAATATACGAAATCATTTGATTCTGTGACATATAAAGAATAATCAAACTACTAGAAAAGTTACACGTTGATGGAAAAGATTTACGAATTATAAAGAACATGTATTGGCAGCAAACATCAGCAAACATGAGCTATAAGAATTAAT